TGTGGGGCTGTGCTGCAGAGTGTGGTGTGAGTGAGGTGACAGCCTGGCCATGGTCACTCAGCCTGTCAGGAATTCCAGCCTTGGCAGGCTGGTCCTGCTCCCCACCAGCCATGAACTCCACACACACTTCACTTGCCCATGCTGCACTGGCTGCAGCAGCTCAGCTGGAAAAGCACTTCCATGTGCAAAGGCTGAGAGGCTTTTCCTTTGGAAATCAGGCTGGTACCAGATGAGCAAACAATATTATTGTGTTCATTAAGATATCACATCCTGTCAACACACAACATTGGCAATTGCATTTCAAATAGCTGTGCTTTCAGAAATGATACAGTAAATTTAGAGAGTGTTTTTGCTGTGTCCATGATCCTTCTCACTGGGCTTGTCCTGGAGTGGGAAAAGCTCCATTTGTAACCTCAGAACTGCAGTGACTCTTTATGCACAGAGGTGACATTGCTGACAAAGATTATCAGTGACCAACCCCCCTATCCTGAACAGTCTGACACTGCCTGTCTTCAAGCAGCCAAAGAGAAATACTCTGTCTTGGGAGTTTGCTTTGAAGAAGCCAAAACCAATTTAAGTGAAAACAAAACTTTCGTTTGGTGAAAATTTCTGGTAATTTCAAAAAACCTGATAACTATAAAAAGCATGCAATTTACTTACCAGCTTCCACAAACCAGGAATCTTCATCCTGCAGGGTTTCTCCTCCCAGTGGCAGAGTTCTCATTTCCCTGTGTCTCCTTTCAACTGGGTTTGGTTGGGTGTAAGAGTCAGCACCTGTGAATCCAGGCTGTGGATTAAACACAATTGCTTTTCTCTTTCCCCTTTATGCTTTTTTCTTTTTTTCCCCCCAAATTAGTATGGGCAGAACATAACATACTAGAAGAAATAAAGAATTACAGTCAGCATGTGAGGAATTATATTTTTTTTCCCTTGGAATGGAATTTCAATATTCAACTATAAAGAAAAAGCCATGAAAAGAATCAAGAGCTTTTTCCACTGCTTTGCACATTGTAAAGTCATTTCAACATTGTAATATAGGTGTCAAACGTTACTAAATCAGCTGTCAAATGCTACCAAACACTCACTTTGCACAGGTGTAAATGATCACATAAAATGCAAAGCACTGATCTGACACCAAAAATCTCTGTGTACCATTTCTGTCTTCAGCAGCTTTACAGAACTATCCAGAAAAATTCCAATGGGGAGTTTATTTCTTGTTTTTTAAGCATTTTTGGTCTGTTTTCCCACTTTTGGGGATGTGGTTTCCCCCTCTGCTCCAGCTGCCACCAAGGAAGAGAATGCAACAATTGGCATGGAATAGCTTTGGACTGATCTACAAAGAACAATATTATGTTTCATAATAATGTTCCAAATGTTAAAGAATTTTTCCTGCCAAAAACTCTCTTTTGTAAGTGTCCAGCATCATCAACTGATGGCACACAGCTCAGGGAATAAACACTTTCAGCTAATGGCAGGAATTGTCAGGGGAAACACAAACCTGGTATTCCTCCCTGAAACAGAATGAAACAGAGGATTAAAATAAAATGCCAAACCCTACCAGCACTGGAGCGAATTCAGGTTTATTTTTCATTTCTGTTAAACCTTTCCTCTCTTTTTAGCTAATTCATCTTGTTTCACTCAATGGCAGTGGTTTTTCCAGTTTGGCCACTCTGGTGGATGGGGGGACAATCCATTTCAGGCCTGTGGCTTTGGGTAACAAGGTAAAGCTCCAGGCAAATCCCAGATCCTGAAGGAGCGCCCAGCAGGCTCCTTGCTGTGTCCAGCTCTCCAAAGGCAGGGCAGGGTGACCCCAAACCCCTCCCTGCCCTCTGCAGCACAGCCCAAACGTGCCCTGGTCCATCCATGTGCTGCTGGGACATTCAAGTGATTCATGCAGAGCATTTGAATCGGGCTGTGTCCAGCAAAAACTCTTAATAACCTTAATGTCAGGGGTGTGGGACTGCAACATTCACTGTGAGGGAGCTGTGACACAAACCTCACCATAATGAAACCATTTCAGGTAACAACTCAGAAGGACTGAGTTTGTCTCCACTGTTTTACTTCGGATTTTCTCGTGAAAAATAAGTCTGGCCCACTGGGGGCTGAGTGAAGCACACAGTGATTAATTAGAGCTGGATGGATTTTGTATAGCTCAATATGAACATGTCACTTCTCTGGCTGCTCCATCTCCATCTTCCCTCTGACCAGCCAGAATTTATTCCAGAATTCTTGTTCTGGTACCAGGAGCAGCAGGTAAAATTTATTTATTTATATGTACACACAGCAAAACCCTCCCCTTTTCTCACCCTGGAGACAAAAAATTAATAGATGGTGAAAAGGGATCTACTCCTCATTGAATGCACATTTCAGTGTCCTTTCTGAAAGAGCTGTGAAAGCATTTTCAAACATGCAAGGCTGAATGTATGGTAAAATAGTTAAACTATTATAAAGCATCCAGTTTTTAAAGTACCACTTATCATAAGAACATTTTAATGTATGGTGCTGTATTTGCTTTCAGAGTTTTGGATTATGTCAACAGAATCACATAATGAAGATGTAGTAAAATCTTACTGCATTTGTAACAGAAACGCAGAAAAATGGGAGTTTTTATTTTAAAAAATGAGCTCCAAAGAGAATTTTCCCCCCCGCCTTAGATGCCCACACCCAAATATTCATACAGGAGACCCAAACAGGTCCAGGTCCAAAGGCAAGGGTGGGTGCAGCACCCACAGAAGCTGCAGCATTTGTGCTCTGCTGACACTGAACGGGCTCATTTCAATTGATTCCTTTGATGTACAATAACAAAGCAGCAGCAAATCATTATCCATCCATAATACATCATTATAAAAATACTTTTTTTACTGCCCTTCCATCTCAGCTTCAAATCATCAAAGACACCCTTATTTGCAGACAGAACTGAAGTCAGGTTGTTTATTACAGTGATTTTACATGTGCTTAAACATTAGCAGGATGCATTAGAAATGATGATAGCACATGGCCTGGCTTAGAAAAGCCCCTCTGTAAATTCCCTGCCCACCCCAGCAAGGGCAGCAGGGCCAGGGGGAGCTGCAGGACCCCAGCAGGAGCTGCAGGGAAGGTGGAAGTGCCTCCATCAGTGCTGCTGCTGCCAAAGGTTCCAGATCCAAGCCCAGGCTGGGAATTATCCCATGTGTATTCAGGGCTCAGAGCATGCACAGGCACAGGAGGGGTTGTGGAGATCAGCTGAAGCCATAAAGGAAATTTGTAACTATTCAGGTTAGCCCACATTTTGTCATGTTACTAAAAATAGTCTGCAAATAAATGTATTTACAGGCCACTTCCTTGTGGGCAGCAATTACCTCAAGCAGCATCCAGGTTTTAATGCACAGCCATGCTCTCACTGTGGGCTGCTACAGACCCAGGCTTCCAATGGAGATTGGGCACTACTGATGCTCTGGGGTTTATGATGGTCTGCATTCCATCCCCCTGCACTCAGCCAAGATCAAGGATGGCTCCATGGCCACCCCACACCCCTGGGGAGGCTCCTGGGGAACCAGAGCTGGCAGAGGGGCTGTGGCTGCTGCCCCCAAACACGCCCAGCTGAGCTCCCACTGCAGCAGGAGGGGCTGCCCGTGTCCCTCAGCCCCACAGCCAGACAAACCCACCCTACAACCCAACCCCAAGAGGTGCTGGGGCTGTTCCAGTGAGGAGGAGTGTGGTGGGGAAGGATGAGCCTTTAAAAGGCTTTAACACCTTCCTTCCACACAAGGTTTGTTCACTATTATATATCATTGCTCATTGCTGACACCCAAACCCCTCAGCCTCTTGCTTTGTCAATACTTACCAGGAGCCACCTAGTGAGGACTGAAAACAGAGTCAGTCTCTCCAGTTCATCAGTCTCCTAAATTCATTTGTCAGAATTCTGACATTTAAAACCAATCTGGGATGGGCAGAGCAGGAATCAACCTGTGCTCATCAACACAGGCTCAGTGATGCCCTTATGGATTGTCTACACCAGTCACTGAGGGGGAAAATGCTCAAAAAACCTTTATGTGGATGAAAAGAAAGTGCAAAAATGTTGGTATTTTAAAGACTGAACTATTAGTTACATGAAGTCTTTTTAAACTTCACAATACTGGATAACTGAGCAAAGATCTCTGTTCAAAATCTGCCCTTCACTGCCAGCATTGGGTCAGCCAGAAATGCTGCAGCACCCCAAGGGCTGCTTCCACTCCTTTTAAAAATAAGATTTAGAATAAAGTCCAGCCCTCACTTCAGAAAATCCCACTGGAATTGAAACTAAAATTAATGTAATACCTAAAGGTCCAATTTAAGTTCTGCTGTTGCAATGTTTTATTCACACATGAGCATTTATTAAGAATCAGGAGGACTCACAATTCCTAATGCTCCTGTTTTTTGTATCATTCAACTTTTGATGGTTTGATCAATGGCAGCATGACTAATGCAGTTATTAGAACAGTTGTTATAAAATAATATTGAAAAAACCCCAATTTTTACATTGGAAGAATATTCTGATAAGTCATTTGATCACCTGTAGAACAGAGGGCAGCACTGACACTGGTTAAGGTAAAGATTTCTTTTAGGAACAAATAAAATCAGGTGATTCTATTCCGCAGAGTCTGTTTACAAAAGTCTGCTAATGAGGAAAAAAAGCAGTGTTAAAAATGAAAGAAATTGTGAACATTCTACATTTAGATGCAGACAGAAGTAAACATAATCAGAGGGAATATATTCCCTGTAGATCTATTTAAAGGTCTTTTTTGGTTTTAAGTGACAGTGATTTATATTCAGGGCATGTGTGTGTAAACATGTGTACATAAACAGGAGTTTGCAAGGAAATAAGCACTGTGCCCTTGACCCAGGAATTAAAATAAAGAGGGAACAGGTGATCACTTAATTCCACCTGACTCAAACCAGCTTTCAGTACCATGCTTTGAGAAGGGAAGCTTTCAGCTGTTCTCAGTTTTCAAAGTTCAGAATCTGGAGCATACAATAATTAAGAAAATGTTTAATACCAACCCACCCTCTTTATTAAGTCATTTCTTCAAGTATTTTTAATAGTGCAAAATACTGGTTTGCATTAGTACAGTTACTATGGGAATTCACAGTCCAAAAAAAATCTTAAAAGATTTCCAAAGTCAAACAAAAAACTTTTTAATACTGTATTTTTAGCAAGAACATTTTTAACAAAGAATGTGTACTTTAACTTAATATGGTACAACAGAGAAACCATACTTAAAAGTTTCCATTATCTAACACTCTACTGCATATTCATTTTTCCATCTTAAAAGACCAAAAGCCAAGCTGAACTGAGCATTAAAAAAAAAAGCATCAATTATAATCCTCATATTACATCAGCTATTAGGGTTTAGCTCACACTTTTGAATCGGTCATCTAATGAAAGGACAATTTTTACATCGTTCTTTTAAAAAATGTACACACATTTCTTTTTAAAACGTAATATATATCGAGTATCTGCTTCAGTAAACAAAGCTTAATTTATAAACACAATCGAAACAGCTCCATGTTGAACAGTTTCAGTGATAAACTGGACTTGTATGATGTACAGCCAGTGAGGACCATTGTGGCTTAAAATCATTGTGCCATTGCTATTCAGTAATAGCCACCTCCTAAGGAAAAAAAAAAAAAAAAAGTTCTTTTTTGGGGCAGGGTGGGGAGGGGAAATAATTGATGTATGTGCTTAAAAATACTAAAACTCCTTTCTATCTCCAGGGACCTAAAAATGATCTGTTGTGACAGGCTTGGTTTGGTATGGTAAGCTTGTAAAAAGTCTCAGTATTTCTTAATACGGCAGTTTTCAATGCAGCAACAGTAAATTGCTTGAAATTGTCCTTCAAGTTTCATGCTACAAATCCTGTTCCTCACACAGTACTGAAGGCATCAAAGGTTGGAAGGGACATTTCTCAGGAACTATATAGTCTTCAAATAGTGGTCATTATACATTTCTCAGCAATAGGTGGTTCCTTCAGTACATGATGGTCGGCTTGATGTATGTTCTGTTTTCTGGAGGGAAACAAAAAAGAAGGAAAAAGTCAATTACACAGTTGAACATTTTATAATTAACTGACACTTAGGTGGCTTCCTCACTTGGTTGTGGATTTTTTTTTCCCTCAAGCCAAATGAACAGATCTAAAAGTGATAGAAACTAAATTGTCCATCACATGAGCAGGTTTTGTGTAGGAGAAGGAGGCACTGGGTGACAACAGCGGCCAAGCCCCCAAGAAAGGACAAAGACCCACCAGCACTTGCCCAGGTGTTTGCCAGCAATGGCTCAGGACAGGTTGCAAACTCTGATTTGGATTTTCTTCCTTTAAGGCATTCTTTTAATCAAACAGTCCCTTTCCCCCAAAGGCAGCCCGTGTTGGATTGCTGCCCCCTGGGACAGACCCAGGGACAAGGCACCAGCTCTGCCACACACCCTGCACAAAACCTGCCAGGGAACAGCGCGTTAAAACTGCACTGCTTTCAGAAAATGCAAATCAGGATCTGTTCTTGGAAAACTGTTCTTTCATTCAGAAACCACCACATTTCTCTTAAAATTCTATTTCTTTATTTAGAGAACGAAGCAGAAAAGCACTTCATAAAAATATTCCTAGTTATAGTACCTATCAACTGTGATTTTTCACATTAAGCAACTTTAAGCCCAGAGAAAAAATAAATATTGAAATGCCCACAGAAACTGAAGCTAACAAGAATCCATATTCCTGCTCATTATACAATGAATCATGAATCCACCCAGCTAAATCTGCAAGAACTGATCTGGAAGATGATAGCAAAATGATAATATGGAGGAGCATTTTGTATAATGTTGACATCTCTCCCATTACTGTTTTACATACGCCAATACCGAGCACTCCTAAGGAAAGAACAAGTATTGACCTGCAGACTGACACTGATCCTTGGAGCAATCTCCAAGTTTGCCACATTTCAATTTCAAAATGCATTTCAGCTATAATATGAGTGATTTATCATTTAGCAGTAGCTGTCAAAGTAACCTCCCAGATAAAACAAAAACATCTGGAACCATAAACAGAGGAGAGCAGTAGCTGAATTTTAATCCAAATCCGACATGTTCACTTCATTAGGAACAGGAAACAGCTAATTAGTAATTGAATGTTTTGTGGTTTTAAGGAGGCTCAGACTCTCCAAACTGAGATGATTTAATACGTATTTTGGATGTAAGCACAAATAAAGATCACAAGAGCCAGGGACATAACAACTCCAGAGGGATGTTTGGGAGCCTCCAAAGAAAGAACTAAAATTAGTTTCAGGCCATTGGCTGATGAAAATTCTTGTTTTAAACCTGGTGGGGAATTACTAAAGCCTGGGGGGGTTCAGCAGAAATGCAAGGATTGAGCACTGTGGGGTTTGTTTGTGGTTTGGGGTTTTTTTTCCTTTTTCTCATGATCATTAGGAAGCTGCACATGGCTCCTTCCCTAGTGGAGGTTGGTTTTTAGGTTCTTATTAAATTTTAAGTATTATTTTTTAAATTAAGGTAAGATGAGGACATTGAGGGTACTGTGGGCTGACTAAACTTTGGAACAGGTTTCCATATTTCCTTCCAATCCCCTTTATTTCTCAAGGAAAGTTCAATGGAAGTATCTGGAATACCTGTAAGAGAGAAAAGTAAATGCCCCAGCTCAAGCCCAGTGCAGCCACCCAGGAGAGATCATTGATCAGTGAACAGAAAGCGCATAGTTAAATATTTCCTTTTTACAACACCCTCAATTATTCTCCAGAAATTAAAATACTTTTTTTGTTGCTGTGCAATAAACTGAATTTCATGGCATTATCCACGTCACACAGCAATCACCTCTGAGGAATTAACGTGCTGGGAGCAGCTGTGCCCCCACTTACACAGGAAAGACAATGTGATGTTGTCAAATTAATCTTTTCTGGAGAATATTCACCATCTCCTCAGTGTAGCTGACTGCAAGCTACAGACCATTTTATAGCACTTTACTGTATTATATAGCAAAGATTTGAATAAATCTGTGTGCAATAAATGTATTCTTTTATCAGGTTTATCCCTTAATCAAATATTCATTTATGTGGGCTTCATTCTATTAAAAAATGAAATTATACAAAGGTGAGCAAAAGCGTAGATTTACAGTAGTTTAAAGCCTAATCTCATTCTCTAGGGGTAATACTGACAATATAAAAACTGTATAAATGATATTCCCTAACACTAAATATGCTTATGAGCCCCCTGTGCATGTTACACTGCTTTACAGCCTACAGAGCAATGCATGACTGGCTTAATAAGCAAGACATTTAGAAAGGAGTTTTTTTTCCCCTTCACAATGTATAAGACAAGTAAAAATCTCTGAGTTTCTTGGTGAGCAGAGTCTGTGTTAATAACTGGAATTTTCCCTCAGGACAGCATTCTCTTCCCTGAGTTGTTAGCCCAGGGTAGGTGCAGCTCTTACAGTCTTTTTAGCCACAATATCATCATCATTTATCTTTTTCTTCCAAGGTTTTAATGGATGCATAAAGGACAAATCCAAAGGCAATAATCATCATCTCCATATTTATTCACATTTAATTTTTTTCCCAGCTTATTCCACATCTCTGAATTTTCTGAATCCTTTGTTTGTAAGATCTCTGGTTTAAATTGAGAATTTAGCTTTATTTCCCTAAACTACTTTGAAACAAAACAAGTGTCCAACTGCACAGGAGATGAGCTCCCCACCCTTCCCAGGCTGGGTAAACAGCACCTCAGTTAGATCAGAGCCAAGCTCAGCTTTGGAGGAAGCAACACATGGGAAATGCAATGCTGTAACAATAAATTAACTTGCAAAGCTGGGGCTAATTAGTTTGAACCAGTGTCTTACTTTGTACAAAGAAAAAAAAATCAGACAAAACCAGTTTGCTTCTCCAAAGGATCACATCCCTCAGAAAATCCCTCTTTCCCTACAGGAGCGCTGCCTGCCTGGAAGGGGAATGAATCCAGGCCCTGCTTGTGGGTAAGGACCAGAGCAATGACCAAAACTCAGCACAGGATCCCTTCACTACCATGAAAAGAAGATGGACCTGGGCTGATCATTCAGCTGAATGACAAGTAAAAATTACTTCTTTGCCTGCTTATTGGTTGCCCAGCAAAACTTCTCTTTTATCTCAAATGTCCTTCAAACTGAGCCGTGAGAGAGCAGGGCACAGCTCCCTCTTGACCAGGAAGAACATGGTCAATAACTGGTTCTGTGAGCAGCAGTACCAACAAAGGTTGGTTTGTTTTCATCTCTCCCACTTTCCTGTGGCCTCTCTCCACCCTGCAGAGGTGCAGATATGATATCAGAGGTGCTCTCTCTGATATCTCAAACTGGCTGAGCCCAGGGCATCCCTTGGGATTGGTACCAAAACCTCTCCTTCCTCCCAGCCTGACCCTCAGGGCTGCTCACCCACAGAGCTGCTGGGTAGGAGTTTCTTCCCCTCTGTGTAAGACAGCTGAGTTCACCCTGTCAGGTATTTCCTCATCCATGTTAAGAGAGTTAAAAAACTTGAACTAAACCCAGGATTTGCAGTGAGTCCCTGCAGAGCCTGTTCCTGGTGAGCCCCTGTGGGGCAGCTCTGAGCTGCAGGTGGCCATGTGGGCACGGAGTGACACTCTGGGAACTGCACAGGAGCTTTGAGAGAGCTTTTCTGGGAACTCTGCAATGACACAGCACAGGGAAGGCACCAGGGGTTTAATAACCCACAGCCTACAGAGCAAGACATGCTCTAGGGAGAGAACACAGCTCGGGCAGGAAGAACAACAGGCCTAAGACTCAGATAAAGCAGCTTGATTTGAGAACTCTGGTTAGATCAGAACACCAATGAACTGAAGTCCAGTCCATGATAAACCTCAAAATATGTTCCAAACTATACCAGTCCTTCATCTTTAACAAGTAAATAAAATGTTATTCACATGTTAGATAAAAATAAAATGTTATTCACAGTAACCCCAGAGTTTTTGTGCCAAATTTCTGCCAGATTATGTCACAAACAAAAGCAGCAGCAGCAGCCCTGGGTCACCCTCCTGTTGCAGGCACAGTGAAGTACATTTTCACCTCAGGAAAGACTGCCTGCCTATGCTGCTGCCTCCTTCCTGAAATTTTATTTTTTTGTAAATTGTTGTTATCAAGTATTACTGCAACATCTACTTTTTAAGATTTTAAGCTAACATTGCTTCGCTGATTGTTCCGCTATCCCCTAACAATGAAATATTATAATACAAAAGTTAACTAAGGTATAAACATGCAAAAGGAGAAGTCTCCCTGCGATCATAAAATGATGTTATTTTCTGTTCAGCAGTTCATGTTACTGCTGTTCATGCTAATTAATTAAAGGAGCTGTTGCTGTAATGTGCAAACAGGGAATCTGAGAAACTGAGAGGGCTTTTAGGTCTCGGAGTGAAGTTAAGTCAATCTGGGCGCGGGCAATCAAATGTAATGAAATCACTTGTCAGTGCTAAGCTTGCAAAAACTGTGAAGTTTGACTAGGGAGTAAAAGGATTATAATTAGATTTCCAATAGGATAATAACTAAATGGCAGAAAGCAGTAAAGAGAAAATATTACTTTGTTAGCTAATGGTGCTGCTGTTCGGTTTTAGTTTTTATCAGCACACTTGTAGTTGTGCTAATTTAATTTGCTTTTATCAGCAAAAATGCACTACTCGAATGGTACTTGAATGTCATTTGCAAAAATCATTGATCTGAAGGTGCACTTAATGACACCCAGTATGTTTATTTTATGTGGAAGGGAGATTGGCTGATAAAATGGTTGATGCACTGTGGTGCTGGCCCAGGAGTGAGTGGTGGAAGGAGGAGCAGGAGGGTGTCTGAGTGCTCATCACCTGCCCTGATCTCCTCTGCCAGCTAAAAACCTCCCAGCTCCAGCTCTGAACTACATCTGGGATATGCAGGATGGAGGCATTACACTGTAAAGTTCAAAAAAGTTTTAAGTCTCATCTGCATGAAATTTCTGTTCAATTAATATACAAAGCAGAGGGAAAATGAGTCAACTAAATGGAAAAGATTTATAATGCAGATCAGAAACGCAGTACATGAACAGCTTGTGTTAATAAAATCATTTTAAGAAATGAGCATAAAATATGATATGACTTAATCACTGTGAAAGGTGGCTGTGCAGTAGTTCTGTAATTTTCCTTTAAACCATCTTAAAGAGATACTGGCAGTGGAACTAATTGAATTTCAAAGGAAAAGCACTGTGTGAATGATAGATTTCTGTCCAGCAGAGCTATTGACAACAGAAAAAGAAAGCTCTGTATTGATGCTAAAGCTTTTTTTCTGAGCAACTGACTGAGATTTTGGAAGCCTGGAAACAGCTTTGTATCAGGGACATGTGTTTTGCCCCTTCCTCCTCCCAGGGCCCAAAAACCAAAGGCAGCAAATGACAGGGGCAGTGAGGGAGTGTGCTCCAATTGTCAGAGCTGCAGCAGCAATAGGAGCTGTCAGGGACACGAATGGTTATCAAAGGAAAGGGAATAAAAAGTTATTACAGTATCAGCATAAATAAAAATGAAAGAGATGGTGCTACAGGACAGGAACACTTTGAAATCCAAACAAGCTCCACAGAGAGCTCTCCAGAAAGCTTTTTATCAGCTGAGAGTGTTTAGTGACCAAGTGGCTCAGCTCCTCACGTGTCCCCACGAGCAGGATTACCAGCCAGGGGGGTCAGAGCCAGCAGGGCAGGGAAGGGAAGGGAATGGGAGGGACAGGGACAGGGACAGGGACAGGGACAGGGACAGGGACAGGGCTGCAGCTCCTGCTGCCCAGGCCATGTCCTGCTCCCACTGAGCCCAGGGACACAAGACAGGGAATATCCAGCTCTCCCCTTGGCCATGCTAAATAAAAACTTCCTGAGCCAAAGCCTCTTGTAACTGAAGGGATGATGTAGATGGGATCAGATTAAAAGAAAAAAAAAAAAAGAAGAAAAAACTCACAGTGAAATAGAAATGGTAAAAGTCACAAGGCTTTCCTGTGTGTTAATAAACTACAGGTAACAGAAACTTCTCTTGATTCCTTCAGGCAAGTAAATGGTCATTGGAAGTGGCTGTGCATCACTTTCCTCACAGTATTTTTACTCATTTTTTTATGTAAAGACACATTTGAGCCAAGTGTCATGGTTTTTCTTCAACTGAAAACTGAAATTACCTTTCTCTTCTTTACCAGAGTCTGCCCAGATGCACCTTTGACTCTCAGAGTTGTGTGGAAGAGCACTGAGCACTCCTCTCAGCAGGTACCATGAACAGATCAGAAATATAAGGAACATTTTCCTCATCAAATTTAAATACATGTGTCCCAAGTGCTGATCCAATATTTTGACTATTTCTGGCAGTAGCAATTTTCCAATTGCAATATTTAGAGCACAGCTCTCATTACATGTGCACATATATACACACACATATGTCAGATGTATATATCTGCATTACAATAAAGCTGTGATTCTCCTTCTCTGTCATACACAGCATATGAATCAAAAATCACAAGAAGAGACAGCAGTAAAAATATTTGAAGCTTTCCTGTAAGGATGGCAGATGGACGACAGATGCATACCAGAGGTATGCAAGTCAAACCTTCCCCAGCTGAAGAGAAATGCTCAAGTGAGGTTTGTGTCTCCAAGTGCACTGCAGCCCCTCTCCTGTCTGCACAACTGCCTCAGCACAGGGGATTTCTGCACATCACCATCCCACGAAGCAGAGAAAGGGTGGGATTGCTCTAAGAAGCAGCAGTTCTGTGGAAGAGGCTCTGTCTGCAGGCTGCCAGCACAGAACTGAACGGTCTGGAATGAAAATGGCACAGGACTGATGGGAGAAAAGCTCTACAAGCTGGACTTTCCTCAGAGTATTTCAATGTTCAAATTGTTCAGAGCAGATTTTATGACAGGTGACTGTGGATTTTCTGTGTGGCTAAAAGAGGCTTCCAAGAGGAATGGGAATATCCCTTGGGAATATCCCTGTCCCAGCTCTCCAAAGGAGGATTTCACAACTCCTCACGTCCCAGACCTGCAGCCAGAACTCATTTCCTGCTCTTTGGGAAGCACTCAGGCCATACCTGGAGGAGCTGCACTTACACACAGCCATACAGTGAGGGACAAGTAGCACCAGACAACTGCCCATAACGTGAACATGGCTCTTCTTTCTCACTCACAGTTCACGCATTTTTTGAAAACATCTGCAAACTTGATAGGTAGGTAAAGACTAGAGGTAAAATATTTCATGTGATAAATCATATATAAAACCCCTTTTGAACTAAAGGCATTTGTCTTAGCAGATAAATATCAGTTTTAAAACAAACAGCACCTCTAAATTACTTCAGCTAAATATCACCTCTACTTAAAGTTAATTTCTGTTCTTGTACAGGTAATTTCTGATCTTTGCTCTTACAAAGATCAGAATCTTACAAAGATACAGATCTTTCCGTATCAAACAGGAAAACAAACTGAAGCTCTGTAATTTACATTGATCTTAAATCATGAAAACAGATATAAAAACGATTAAACTAATTTTTAATGACAAACACACAAGTGAGGAGCTGTGGTACATACTGCACCTTGCATGGCTGCACTGTCATGTTGGGTTCCGTTGTGTTCTATTTCCATATCTGGGATTCCAGCATCTGAAAGATGGGAGACAAGATTAATGCATTCCCCTTTGCCCCTCTCTCAGGCATCTTTAGAAAAATATTTATAGCAAACTAGGGTGCTCTCCAAGTTAACATGGTCTTGCATAAAACATTTGGTCCTCATAGAATTTTCAGTAGTAAATTGTTTCCAAAATGTGCAAACATTACTGGTCTCACAGTGAATTATTTTTAACGTGCTTCACATTTGTCTGACGATCAGATAATACCCAACACGTGGTAATAATATGTCTGCAAAATCCTCTTGGAGAATGAGGGCATCTGACACATGAAAAATAAAAGTTGAAATTAAACTGTGATATTATTAAACTACATTGACTCTTGTATATAGCCAAGTACCTCCAAATTACAGAGTTGAAGAATACAGCCAGTGCCAGGCAACAGTTTTGGGGTGTGTGTGTCTCAGTTTGTGTGAGTGCATGTTACAGATAAGAACTGTGCAAATTGCATTTCCAACCTCAGCTCGGGATGTGTGAGCATGTGTTACCACCCAAACCCAAATTACAGCTGTCATATTATGTGAAGTATTTCCAGATCTCTGAGAAGAGCTTTCCAAAGAGGACTGTGCTCTTTTTTTTTTCCTCAAGTTGAGCAGGAGTCTCATGACACTCACTCTGGACCTGTTTAATTTCATGTTGGTGATCCCTGTGTCTGCACAGTCCTTGGGCTGGGGGCGGGGGCTCCAACACCCCAGGGTGTTACAGGAGCAGATGCCACGATGCACCTTGTGCCAACAAGGATTAGCATGAAGGGGATGTGATTTGAATCCATGGCACCTCAAATCCTGGAGAAACATCTGCTTCCCTTATCACACAGCCCTTAGAAATTACAGGAAGGAAAAACCCACACCTGAAAGGAAGCTGTGTGTACAGTTTTGGGTTTTTTTTTGTGCAAAAGCCTGTTCTGGACGTTCTCAAACAGGGAATAAGTGCACTGTTGCTTTCACAGATCCCTTCAGTGAGTGTCAGGATCTGTCACAGAGGTGATGCTTTGCTGGTGACCCTGCAGTAACTGAGCCCTGAGTGAAAGCAGGGCAACCCTGAGAAGCACAGTCCTTACAGGAGAGCAATAGCTCAGCAATAAATGTGGAAGTGAAATTCATGTCATGTGTGCATATACAGCTCTATAAATGTATATGTGATAAAAAAGCAGTATTTTCACACATACTTTTTTTTTCTTATAAAATTATAAGTGACTGCCACTCTGCAGGGCTTCCCTTACTCAGATTCCTGTTCTGAAGGCAAGTGCAGGGCACTGACCTATCAATCTGAAAAGGTTCTTTCTTCTCAAACCTTTCAGAGTACATGTTGTATATACCAAAAATGACAAAGTCATCTGTAACTAATAACAGCATCTGTTAAACGAGACAGACTGTCAGAGTTAAATTAAAAATACTCAGAATAGCCCTTCGCATTTTGTTGTCATAAAATTGTACCTGCAATTAAATTGTGGATTAAGATGCTAATGAGCTACCTGATTTGCATGTGCAATCAGATTAGCATGTAAATATCAGCTTCTTGCAGGCACTAACATATATATGACTACCTGAGTGTGCCTGCAAATCAAACTGCTGCAGCCAGGCCCACACCAGCAGATGGAAAGGTGTGTTAATCACACTGCTGGAACGTTGGTATCCCTGGATTTGTGGCTTCCAGAGCTGCTGGGTGCTGCTGGCTGGTGAGTGAGCAGCAGGTGCTTCCCTGCAGTGGCAGCACCCAAGGGAGTGACCTGCAGCACAGCAGGATTTTAGGTTTTTTCTGACTTTCCTCTCAAGGTGCTGGTTCTGTCCATGGGATCCAGTCTGGGCATTTGTCTGATCCAGTGGAGGAGTGGAGGTTTTTTGCTGGTTCTGGTCACTGTCACAGAATCACAGAATCACAGAAATTCTAGGCTGGAAGAGACCTGTAAGATCATTGAGTCCAACCCATGTTCTAAGAGCTCAACTAGATCATGGCACATCCAGTCTTTTTTTAAACTCTTCGAGGGATGGTGACTCCACCACCTCCCTGGGTAGATGATTCCAGTATTTGACCACTCTTTCTGTAAAATACTTCCTCTTTAATACTAGCTTGCATCTCCCTTGGTGCAGCTTGAGACTGTGTCCTCTTGTTCTGTCTGTTGTTGCCCGGAGAAAGAGACCGACCCCCAGCTCACCACAGCCACCCTTCAGGAAGCTGAAGAGAGTGATAAGGTCACCCCTGAGTCTCCTTTTCTCGAGGCTGAACAACCCCAGCTCCCTCAGTGGTTCTTCATTTGGCTGTCCCTGGTCACTGTCCCCACCCTGCTGTGACTGCAGCTGTGAATCCACACCTGGATGCCCCTGCCCACTGCCAGTGCTCCGGGACAGCAGCCAGTCCCTGCTTCCAGGATGTGCAGGGCTCTGGACAGCAGATGAGAGGAGCCACTGAGAGATGCTGCTCCCACACTCCCAGAGTTTACGTGCCTTGGTACCCCAGCTAAATCCCAGCTCCCATCTCCTGCAGAGCACTGCTGTGCCAGGGCACACACACAGCCCTGCCCTGCCTTTAGACAACAGTGTGGGCAGCTCTCCCAGCTGAGAACTCCAGACAAGCCAAATTCATTATTTTTGCTCAGCAGTCAGGCAGCTTTTGCACTCTGCAGTCTCTAGCAGTGCCCAAAGCAGGCAGCACAAATTAACACACCACAGGACACCTGAATGCAGCAGGGACTGAATGTCACTCTGATTCCTGAGCCTCTGCAGAGACTCCAGGTAGGGATGCACAGAATAAACTTTAGCTGCAGAACCTGAAATTAATTAAATCTCAGCTAGGTTCAGTCTTAAATGTTCAAACCAAAGCTCTAAAGTTTGGCCAGAATCATCTTAAGCACAAAAGGCAAATCCTCCTGGTAGCCAGAACTTAATCACTGTTTAGGAGATGAACTGATTTGCTTTTGTTTCACAAGAATATTTGGGAAGTGTTCAAAACCCAGTCAGCTCTGAAAGCTGATACATATTTAACAAACTTAATAGGTCCTGAGGCTGAGCAAACTTCAGCCAAACGGCTTTTGAAGTGAAGCTCAGCAGTTCTAAAAATGAATCTGCTGGGAGAGAAGAGTTCACAGAACCTTATAGGAACCAAATTTCACATTGTCTTAGCTGGCACTGTAACAGATTTCTCTGTAATATATTCAGCATTTCTTGTCATCTCTGTAAACTGCTCTGTCTGTTTCTCTAGTTGCAGACTTATTTATTTTTTTTAATTCTCGACCCAGAGCACATAGCCTGAAATAGATTTTTCATTATTTCAGGAAAGAATTGTGGGGGTTTATTCCGAAATTTGCTCTGTGCACCATCTGATCTTTTTTTTCTCACTCAATCAAACATCATTTTAAGCTGACTGTGAAAGGCCAACTAAGACATTACCATTTAACATCCTGAGACCGTCACCTGATGTGGCCTGTTTCAGAGCCTGTTCCACTTGTTCTCTTCTCTTGGATTCAAATTCCAAAGCTTCCTGCAATTTTCTCTTTGCCTTCTTCTCTTTCTTCAAGCGTTTTTGAATTGTGGCTGGAATGCAAATACAGTGTAAGACTGGTTGTCAGGGCTCAACTAACAGATGATGGAGACGGAAAAAAAATAGTTTATGTTCAATATTCAAAGGTGCATTTCTAGCTCAGGACTCCTAGAACAATAAAGATGTGTATATGGTGGTGACCTAAAAGACAAACAATTCTGAGGAGGTGATTATTGGTGAAATTCTCTCACAAGTCAGGAACTATCAAAGTCTGTGAATGACCTGAAGATTTTGGTGAGTTAGCTGGGATTCAGGAGGGGCACACTGTGCTGTCCTAAGGAGCTCAGGTTTTTTTTACAGAAATACACAGTCTCATCACACATTTCTGGACATCCACTTCAATTTAACAGCTTCAGCAGGATTTACTGCTCAACTCAAATGAGAGGTGCCCTTTGGTGGCCCTGAGTGAGACCTGGCACTGCAGAAAGCTCCACACATCCAATTTCCATTCAAAAAGCACAGGAAGAAAGCACTTGGCACCTCCACTTTTGGTCTTATCTAGTTTTATCTTTCTGATTTCATGGATGTAATCTAGAAGCAGCTTTTGGCACATGAAGTGCTGTTCCTTTCCTTCAGATGCAGATCTGAATTTTAAAAAGAATACTAATACTGCCTCCTTTGCAAGCAGCACAGCGAGAAATTCAGATTTACCAATTTAATTGCCTATTATTATCAAAAGCTTCTAACCAGTCATGGTTTTGTCTCAGAAGACCCCATTTGGGGTGTGCTACTGCACCTCAATCTCCTGATGCAAAAAAAAAAAAAAATCTAGGAATATTTGGTTCAGATCTTGCACTTGGGCAGACAATTTCTCACAGCTCTAATTTGTTGAGCTGAAGTTCTCTACAAGACAAACTGAGCAGCACTGAAGCTGTAGAAATGTGGGCCAGGGAAGTAATGAAAAAAAAAAATCACTTAAATACCCAAATTAAAGCCATGCCTTTCTCACAGTAGGACTGATGATGCTTGGAGGATAGCAGCAGAAACAAAAAGAAATTAAAGCTGTCAAATGAAGAAATCGGGCTGGGAATACCTGGGCAGAGTGATGCTGATACACCTGGAAGTCATGGAACTGCCCCAGCTTCCCTCTCAGAACCTGCCACAACTCTCTGGGGCCAGTTCCCTACAGGTAATAATCCTTCAGCCACTGCTCCTTCTGCTCACAGAAACCTGTGCTTTGCTCTGGCTCTGTGAGATTTGAATCTTTCATTACCAGGGCAGGCCCACTGCTGCCTTACCCCAGTCTGAATGTCAGCTCTGAGCCCTCGACAGCTCCAGCTGGAAATGCCAAAGGGCTCCACATTTCACAGCCACCCAAACTCCATTTTTCACTCACTCACCTCTGCTTTGCAGCTCAGCTGTGAGTTGCCTTTCCAAGCTCTCTCGTAGTTCTCGCTCTCTACAAAGCTCCATCTTTAACTCTTTCTTTTCCTGCTGTATCTGCTTTTCCTGGACTCTTGCATTGTCCACAGCCACTTTCAGCAGGCCCTAAAACACACACAGATGCAAGATCTGAAAACACCAGTTTCTTTCAGCAGTGACAAAATTCATCCACTTGTTTCTTTTACACCCTCTAGGAAAACAGAAAGATTAGAAGCAGGAACCTACAGAGCTGAAACACAACTGGGTATTGGAAGTAGCTAATGTTGGAGTTATTTATGAGGAATTTTGTGGCATGGAATCATTCAGTACAGCTTTGGTTAATTTGGTACATACACAGTGCCACGTCTCTGCTCACATCAGTAACTGCAGAGAGCACTGCAGGAATAATGAGAATGGTGAATTTCAAATATTGCCAATTATTAAGTCAAATATACAATGTATGAAACCCTTCCATGACTGATAATGCCAAGGAGAGCGGAAACCTAAACATGACATTAATTAAAGAGATGAGAAACTACAAATACAAAATAGTTTCTGAAACTTTTTAAAGAGTGCAAAAGAAACACATGTATCATGACATAACCTGGCCCTGTAGAGAAGAATTTACCTGAATGTTGGTTAATAGTGTTTCTACTGATGAAAGACCATCAGCAAAAAGAAATGGCGCCGGAAATCCAGGAGGCAAGGCCTGTCCAGCCAGTTGGACTTTATCTAAGGTTGGTTTCATTATTGGAATGGCAATTTGGACCTCTTCTGTAAAGATAGGTTCAAAAGCAACATCAGAAAGCATTGGAAATATAGGTGACTGTAATTTCTAGCAACTAGCATTTTGTTTATCTGGAAGTTAAAATACAAGTGCATTAGTAAAATCAACATTGTTTCAGTCTTTGGGCAGCTGGGACTGCTGCCAAGGCAAGTTGGCAAAATAGTACAGAACAATAATCAATACACTGAGCCTATAACACAGCTGTAATGGAGTACAGGCTATTATATCTCAAATTCTACAGAATTATACCACAGAATTATAACAGTATTACGCAGTTCATTAAACCTGAATGACCTGTCTTCATTCTATCATGTTTGCCATTCTGTGATGTGTGTTTTTTGTTGCTATAACCTTGGCAAAATTCTAATCAAGGAATGTATCACATCTCTTTACTTCTTTACCTTTCCCCTTCCCGTGCTCAGCAGTAAATAATCTCCACTGAGCCATCCATCCCCTCTGCCAGCACTGCTTGGAACTGGAGCATCTCCTGCAGAGACCAAACTGGGGCCTGGCAGCTTCCCCTTCACTCCTTGCAAACACATGGTGTGGGTATAGATCACGCTGTGCACAGACAGCAGAAATGTGTATCCAGAATGAAACAATCTTAGAAATTGGGTTTTTTTTCCAGAATCCCTTCAATTTGGTGAGGAATCAATACTATCACCAAGGAACTTCCATTTTTGAATGGAATAATTGAAGGACTTTTAGGACAGTAGATGTAGCTCCTTCTCTCAGATCCCTGTGGGTACTTCCCACATATTCATTTTAATTGCTGAAAACCACACAATTAAAATCTAGCTGTGACTGAAGCCAAACTTTGTACAATTCTTTCACTCTGAAATGCTAAAATAATACTTCTGTGCAATATTCTAGTCTCTCTCTCTCTCTCTCTCTTTACATATATATCTATATCTATCTCTATCTCTATATATATCTATCTTTTAGTGAAGCCTGTGATCCCTGCCTTGACCATGTGCTGCTGATGCCAGTGCTCACCCAGGGCAGCAGCCAGCCAGCTCCCAGAGTTTCATCTGTCAAGTGCCCTGGTCATATTAAAGCCTGAATTTACAATTAGACCAAACCATATTCAAAAGGTCTCCTTCTCCCACTCCTGTTTTTAAGGAATAAACAACTTAAAAAGAATCTGACAACTAATTAACCCAGGGTGTCTCCACTGCAGCACTGTTTCCTGGTGTAACACACTCAGGAGCCTCCACTGAGCTGCACTTCTTGCATCCACCTGACAACAAACAGGAGCATTAGCAGTTTTCAAGTATTCATTGAAATCTCTGGTTTGGGAGTATTTTGTCTTTGCTCTGTGAGTTCATTAAATGGAACATCTTCCTAATGATTTTTCAGGACTAATAACAAAAGCCAGTAACCTCCACATGTCCTCAGAGATGGCATCTTAGATGGAATTGAAGTGATCCATTTAAAAATCCCAACTCAGGTAACAACTCAGACCACGAAGTTTGTGCTGATTCAGACACACCATTTCTCACATTCAAGTATATCAGTGGCAGAGTTTTTAAAATAACCTGATTAGTTGTCACACATGGTGCCACACAGAAATAACAGCGAAGCCACGGAGTCACAAAAGACTAAACAGAAGTGGCACTTGAAAAAGAAAGCAATACATGAAGTATGCATAACAAAACTGGAGCTGCTCTAACACCTCTAGAAATCTCTGCTATTTGGAGATGAAAGTAATAACATTAAATTGGCCGAAAGGAAAATTACTATTGACTGTGAAGACAGGTTGCATGGTCTATGGTTTGTAATGCTACTGTACAGCAGATTGAAGTTTCAAAATAGTATTACTCTTCTTTAAAGAGATAGACACAGCTAAATTAGGTGCTGCTTGCTGCAGTGAGGATCAAATGCAAAAAGAATCATATTTCATCAGACCTAGTCAACACCAGGAAAATAAATAGAAATATAAGAGGTATGCAGGCAATGATTCATTTTGATAATCTGGCCCAAGAGAGACACATAGAGACAGCACACAGATCTAAGCTCCTACCAAAAGACAAATAGGACACAGAGGGTGGGAATTGGGATGACAGTGTAGCAGAGGTCACATCGATTTTCAGCAGCAGTTTTCACACAGATGAGATAACCCTGGACTCTATTTGGCCCATTGTTCATATCCTACCTGTCCCAGAAGCAATAAATTTCCAAGTCCCAGAAAAAGGGCAGTAAAGAAGAAGGATTCTACTTATGACTTCTTATGATTAAGTTTTTGTGCTAACCAAACATGCTTTGCAGACCAAGGTCACATTGCATGTTAAAGTCTGTAATAGCTGAAACTAGAAGCAGCATATTATGTTTTAGCGTCTATGGGTGGAAACTGTCAAACCATTCATCATTTTTTTTTCTGATTGAAATCACACTCTGCAAAGATGAATGATAAATGCATTAGAAATCTATTTCAATCTTGTAATAGGTCTTCACATCTGAACGGTGTCTACATCTTGCCCATGCTCTGAATAAGTGCACAGTTAGGCAGAAATTTATTAGCTAGACTTGAGGAATCATAATTGGTAAAGCAATTAAAAATGGCATGTGCTGGAAGCATTTCTTGGGGACTGTATCAAATGCATCTCTTTAATGGAAAAAAAATAATGTTGATTTAAGGATTTTGATTTTAAACACCACTAAAAATATAAATGCTAAAAGCTGCACTCACATACACAATACAACAGAATAAGCAAGAAATAAAGCCAAGACAGCTCCAGGCTGACCAAGGACACAAACAACCTTTCTGATTATTGAAGCAAAGTGGGAACTACTTTTATCGAGCCTGTTTGTTAAACCTGCCATGCTTTATAAAAGCATTCAGGAATCCATTTAGAGTGCAGTCTTTTCATTTTAATTTCTAGCTGACATCCAGATGAATAGATGAAAGTAAGAATTATACTGCAGAGCAAAGAAATACACAGTAAACACTAACAGTGAATGGAGTATCATCCTGGGAAAGCACAGAAATCTGCTAGGAAGTTTCTTGCTCTTAATTCAATATGCTTAAGTATTTCATCTTCTGTCTTTTGCCTAAATTGCAGGAACAGGGATTGGCAAATGAAGCATCAACCTCCAGACTGAACCCAGCACTGGGAACGTGGGGAACGCGAATTGCTCCCTGCACGGCCCAAACCAACAGGCACTTTTATTTGCCAGCTGGTTTATTTTCTTTCAGAAGGCATGTTTTTAAACCCATCAGTCACAGCCCTGATCCACTTGGAATGCCACATCCCTCTCAAAATAAGGGAGAAATATTAAAGGTACAATTTACACTGGTTAGACCACCGAGTTATTTCTTCTCATGCATTAAAAAACTTTATCTACCTGGAGATGTAGGAGCATTATTCACCTCCAACAGCTCACAGAATATAACTCATACATTAAATAAATACATGGCATATGGAGGAGAGAGAAACAATTGATACAGGATTTACAGTTATTAACCTGTTAGTTACTAACCAGGACATTTGATCTCAGAAACCCTTCAGGCAGGGATAAGAAGATGGGTTTGGACACAGATGGTGGCTGGGTCACTCCTTTTCCCTGCCTGTGGCATAAAATTTAGAAACCCAAGGACTGAAGTGGTTTATTAAAATTGTAATTCTTTGAGTTTCATACCTGAGTGATGGGGATTACATTTAATGGCCCATAGTTACAGAACAGCCTGGATACTCTAATGGACCTCTTTGTCTTTTAATAAAATAAAGCAGAGGATTTGCAACATCAGCTGGGTTGTCTGTGTGACTCATCTCCGAAAGTAAAATATGTATTTGAAATACCTTTATTTGCCCAAAGACCTGACAGAATCATCCAAACTGAGGTATCTTCCTGGTGGCAAGAGGTGCCCTGAATTCCATCTCTAGGTGGTGTCCAAACATGGATATTTTAATATAATTAGGGCTAAAATTCTAATTTGTGACTGAAAAACCAGTTTTCTGAAAGAGACTTTTTATTTTAATTTTAAATCTTGTCTACTTCTGTATTGCTTAACTAGAAGCCAGGCTGGTTTTTTTTTTTTTCTTTTACAGCAAAACAAGTATGAAAAAAATCTGGAATCTGAAACATTGTTTATTTCAAGTATTTTGTATTTCTAATTCCACAAGTACAGGGTTATCTGTCTTCCATGTCTTAATAACTTCCAAAATCCTCCATAAACCTCTGTATTTTTCCCCCCTCATTGCTGCTCTGGAGCTGAGACTCCTGGTCATCAGTGAGAAAAGAGATGTCTCCTGTAAACCAGGCACCAGGCAGAAATTTAGTGCTTTAACCTTGTGATTCAGGTGCCAAATTTAAAGTCACTGCTGTTTTTCTTAATTACAGCCCCTGAATGAACAGGGTCAATGAATGCAATTGAGGAGCAGCTGATTAATCCAGTGCAGTACCTTTAAATCAGATTTCATTTCGTTTCCCAGTGACTGATACAAGCCTTGTTCACTACTGAGCTTTGCCAGGAAAAAACTTCACTTTGAGAACAGTATCTAACAATTAAATACACATTTCCATGCTGCCTTAAAAGCTTCTAGAAACAACCAGAGAATGGTACCATCAACTATGCTCCCCTTATCTGTGTCCAAGCAGGTTCTCACCTGTGCACTCTGAAATCACTCCATTTCGTCTGAACAAGTGTTTAATAAAACTTTTTTAGTGGGATCAGCAGGAAATGCAGGCCATACAACCATGGAATTGTTGAGGTTGGGAAAGAGCTGTAAGGCCATGATGGAGTCCAGCTGCTCCCCCAGCACTGCCAGGGCCACCACTGACCATGTCCCCAGGGGCCACATCC